AGAGTGGCAAATAACACTCTGGCCCTGTAGCTTCAGCTCAGCAGTAACACTCTTTGATTCTGCTTCCATTTCATTGACCAAAGCAAGTCACGTGACTACCCCTGTACTCAGAAAGGGGTGGGAAGGGCAGTCTTACTCCTTACCTGGAAGGAGGAGAGAGCAAACCCGGGTACTTGACCAGATATAACAACAGCCACACCCTGGAAGGAACACCGTATAGTCTCTGGCCCAACCCTGTAAACCGTAGACACACAAAGGAGGGAACAGCTCAGAGCAGCTCTGAGCCCCTATAGACATTCCCTGAGTGGCACCTGGGGCTGGGCCAGCACTGTGCAGGTCCTGCAGGGTGCCTTCCGAGACCTCATCACAATACCTGCTTCTCTCAGTAGAGTTGTGTCCAAGGGCTGTTCCATGATTAGTCGCGTGGGGGCAGGGAGAGCAGCCATCTCAGCGTCACTTTCCCTGACACTCCAGGTGGAGGAGGTGGCACTTGGGACAGTCTCTGAAGGAAAGAGATGTCTATAGACGTCTGCCCAGCAGATGAGTTGGGAAACAGCATCACAAAGGCTCAGAGGGTCAGGAGAGTGTGAATGATTAGGAACGATCATGCAGGCATCGTGGAAGTAGAGTGATGAGTTGGAAGGGAAGGTTGGGCCACGTTGGGAAGGAAAGGCCTGGAGCATCATGGCAAGGAGTAGCTCCTGTTGGGTTGTATCCCAGGGCAGTCTAGTGAACTCCCCAGCTGGAAATTCCAAGCTTCCAAGAAGAAAGATGGACCTTGGCCAGTCCCTGATTGTAGGGCACCTGCTCTGCGCTGAATGCACTCAGGAGGCTGCACTGGTCATCTCACTGCAGCTTTATTTTATTTATTTATTTTTTTTTGAGAGATTATCACTGTAGGGCGCGTGCGCTCGCCAGACAGACAGAGAGAGACATAGAGACAGAAAGTGAGAAATCACCCCCCAGGGGGGATGGTCACGCCGCAATCCCTTCTCCTCCATTCTCCTCTCGGGATCTTGGGCACGCACGCACACGCGCCCGGCGTGAGTTTTAAGCCACCAGGTCCAGGACACGAACCGCGGTCGACTACGTGGGAGTCCAGCAACATAGCCATTACGCTAACTGCTGATTCCCTCACTGCAGCTTTAGAGCAGCTCTGAGGTGTAGGACTCACCACTGCCCCACCTTACAATGGGAAGGCTGAGGCCCGGCGGGGTTCATAGTTGCCCCCCCCGCAAAAAAAAAAAAAAAAACAGAGGTGGAAAGGGGTAGAGCTAAGATTTGAACTTTGGTCTGTCTGATCTGTTAGGTCACCCACTAGAATCCAGGCCCTGGATACCTCGTACTTACTTTATGAATTCCCAAACCATCCCCAATTTACAGACAAGGACTCTGGGATCCAGAGAGGTCATCAAAGACCAAGTGGTTACCAAGCTGGAGGGCCCTGAGCAAGATGGGGTTGGGACCCAGGTGTGTCTGTCTCTAGAGCAGGCTTGTCAGTCAGAGACGGCCTACACAGTCCCAGAGGTCCGGGCTCTTGGAGAACTGTGGCAGAAGAGGAAGACCAGAGCAGTGGCAGGAATGAGATATCCCGTACGAGCTGGGTCTGCACTTGCCAGGCTTAAACTACGCCCCATCTCCTGACCCTCACCCTTACCCTGAAGGCTGCAGCTTCGAATTGGAGCAGTGAGCCCTCTGCATCCCACAGTGATGCGTCTCTGTGACGTCAGAAGTGTTTAGGCTGCCCAAGCCAGAGACAGGTTGGCTGACCCCTGACCTCAACGAGTGGCCTTATCCTCTCTGAGACCCATCAAGGACACCTGGCAAGATTTCTAGTGCCTCCTGTCCAATGTCACAGGC